TGAGTGACGGGCCTGCAACCCAGTCTGGGCTCCTTGCTGAGCCGAGTCCCGGTGTGGAGCTCTATCTGCCGGGAGGGGCACCTTTGTTATTAACACAAAGCCATGTTACGAGGTCGGTAAGTTACTGGCCCCATTTCCCAGATGTGACTTGCCTAAGGTCAAACTCATATAAAGGAGGCAGTCAAGATGCAAACTCGTCTTCTGGCTTCTTTGGAGGGTCTCCCCGTGCTGGACCTGCTCCCCGAGCCTCACTTCTTGGGTGGAAGAAGCAATGCTCATAGGAAGCAGGCATGTGACATCTGGAATCGCACTGGACATTGATGGAATGATTCTACATTTAGTGGATTTCAAGTCCATGCATCTTTTAAACCCCCACTTTCCCCTCAGGACTCTCCCCAAATCTCCCTTCTCACACTCACCTCGGGCCTCTCGAATGTCTTCTATCCCCATTTCTTGACTCCTGCCAGACCTTTGTCCCCCACGCACATCTCACCTGTAGGACGGAACTGTCTGTACCTGGTTTAATGTGGTGTGCGTGTGAAGGTGCTTTGAAAAGCAGTAGGTACTCGGCAAAGTAGAGAGAATGATGCTTTCTCCAATTCTCCCTTCTCACACTCACCTCGGGCCTCTCGAATGTCTTCTATCCCCATTTCTTGACTCCTGCCAGACCTTTGTCCCCCACGCACATCTCACCTGTAGGACGGAACTGTCTGTACCTGGTTTAATGTGGTGTACATGTGAAGGTGCTTTGAAAAGCAGTAGGTACTCGGCAAAGTAGAGAGAATGATGCTATTTTCTTTTCATGAAACTTCAAGTGGACCCAGTTTCACTCATTGGTTTGTTCCTTCCCTCCCTCCCTCATTTTTACTGGAGTCTACCATGAGCCCAGCCTGGGGGTACCACACCTCTGACTTCTCTGAAATTTGGGCCTGATTTCCAGCTCAGCCAGCAGGCCTTTGCCACCACACCCCAAAAGGCTGGCCCTGGCTTGTCAGGCTTGTGGAAGTCAGGAGGGAGGCTGGTCCAGGCCAGCCAGCTTGGTTGCTCCCCCAAAACGGCTGGACCTCCAACTTGGGAGGCCCTGACTCTTCCTCCGCCTTTGGTCAACCATGAGGTTTTCTGTTTATGGATGCCTTTCCCCAATCTCAAAGAGAAAAAAAAAAAAAAAAAAGGGCAGGGCCCCCAGAGGTGGGCCTGGAGGGGCACCTTTGTTATTAACACAAAGCCATGTTATGTTGGAGTTGCATACATTTTTTTAATTGAGAGGTCAGCCTCCTAAGTATTGCTTTTACAAGTTTATCGAAGTCAAGTATTCATACCACTCGCATTTTCTAAAAATATTTCTGGCCAGAAGAGCAAATGTGGCCCTTCCCCGGCACGATGGATCAGTTCTGGCAACTTGATGAACAAGCAGCTTGAAATGAGTAAGTCAAAATCCTACCCTCAGTCCCCAACACGGTCCTCGCCTCTTCTCCTGAGCCACTCCCAGAAACAGTCACTGCATCTAAGACCAGCCTGGTCCAAACCCAGCGGGCTCAGGGCTCCACGGGCATCAGCTGGATGTGTGTGTCTGTGGTTTGAAGTGTCCTCTTGAAGGTTAAGTGGGGGAAGCAGGTGCAGTCGGGGGGTGAAAAGCAGGGAGGCAGACTCTGGCTGGTTCCTGTAAACATCCATCGCAACGGCAAAAGGTCAGAAGCCAAGGCAAGGCCATTTGTGCGAGCTGCAGGCGGGTGAGGTTTTCAGATGCCCCAGCCTTCTCCCTTTGGGGAGCGGGGCAAATGCACTCAGTCTCAACCTCTCCATTGCACTGTCCTGGGTCTGGACAGGAACCTCTCTGTTGGCACGGAGCTTTCGAGAGGAGCAGGCCTAACAAGAGGGAAAAAAGGGTGTTACCAGCATGGAAGCACCACCTGCCACCCATTCTCGGGGGATCTGGACACCCCCGCCAGGCCCCAGGAGGCTTGGGGTGGGCCAGGGAAGTCTTCCTCCATCTCTCGAATTCAGGGAATTACCAGAAGCCCCCAACTCAGGCTGGGGGTGTTTTCTGATCATTTTTGTGAAAAACTAATGAATCTGCCTGATTGCTAAGGACCCTGGGCTGAAGAACTGGTGTGATCTGACATAAGAGAGGGACTGTCCATTACTGGGGAGAACAGTCTGCTCAGGAGTCACCCAGGACTTGCTGGCTGACTTGAGCTCCAGGTGGCTGGAGCGAGCTCTAGGTAGTGGGCAGGGCTTGGCAGCATCTCCCACGTTGCCCAGAAAATGCTTTGCAGCCAAGCTACTCAGCAGCCCCATTTCTCTTGTCCTTTTGGGCTACGGCACCATCCTCCACCTGGCCCCTCAAAGGTCTCTATTCCCTGTTCCCTTCTCTCTGTCCAGCTTGGTGCCAGCGTGTCTGCAGCATCTCACTGGGCTACGGCACCATCCTCCACCTGGCCCCTCGAAGGTCTCTATTCCCTGTTCCCTTCTCTCTGTGTCCAGCTTGGTGCCAGCGTGTCTGCAGCATCTCACACTACCGTGCCCAACCCCCTGCCCCAGTTCTGAGTCTCATCTTTGCCAGCTCAGCCTAGTCCTTCTGCAAATGTCATCAGGCACCACATAAAATTTCCGTTAAACACCCAACACGTATTGTGTGTCAGGGTGCTATCGACATTTGGGGCAGGAAGTTTCTCCAATGGGGCGGGGTGGGCTATTCTGGGCATAGCAGGATGTTTAGCAGCATCCCTGGTCCTTGACCACTAAATGCCAGTAGCACTCACAGGTATGTTGACTAAAAATGCCCCCTTGCCCCATTTCCAAGGACCACCCAAGAGGGCAGAATTGCTTCCACTGAGAACCATGCATCTCCTGCAGGAGGAAGCCGCCTGTAGTTCCTGTGATCACTTTCCAAAAAAACAATTTGCACTTGAATCTCAGGGTCTGCTCCCAGGAGAGTACACCTGAGATGGAGCCTTACCCAGGTGATTTCATTCAACCCTCCTAACAACCCCAGGAGTTATATAATATTAATGATCCCATTTTACAGGTGGAGACACTTAGAGAGGGTAAATGACTTGTCTAACCTCTCCAGGTCTTTGTCCTACTGAAGATCTCAAAGACTACAAAACCTCATACCTCCCATGTGCCAGGTCCTGAGCTGGGTGCCGGGGACCCTGTGAGGAGCGCGGCTCCTGCCTTTGACACAATCTAGTGAGAAATTTCAGCCCAAGGTAATATGCCTGACAACAGGAGGAAGCATGGGATGGATGGAGCTCAGAGTCTGGGGAAGGCTGTGTACAAAGGGCACACCAGGTGGAGGGCATGGGGACCAGGGCACAGCAGGTCCTGGAACCTCCCGTAGTTTGGCACTGGGTAAGGGGAGGGGGTAGACGGCAGGGAGACAAGGCTGGACAGGTTAGCAGAGGCCAAATCGTTCAAGTTTCTTGTGACCTTTGCCAGATTCATCTCCTGGAGGCCAGCTGGGATCATGTCCTTCCAATGCTCAGAGACATTCCCTGCTTCACGATGACACGGGTAAGCCATCGTGTCCTCAGGCCCTATCCCACCTCCCCACTGGACCTGGCAGGCAGGAGGGGAAACTGGGGCCACAGCCAGAGCATTGGCGAGCTCAGTGCTCTCGAGAGGGTTCCCCTCCCAGCCCACCAGGAAACCCCGTTCTGCTCACTTCCCTCCTCTTAGGAACCCCTGGGGTTCCTGTGCCAGGGGTGGGGGCGGGGGGCAGTCAGCGGTGGTGCTGAGAACCCTGATGTCTGTGAACGTGGAGCAGAACTCGTTATTCAGATTCACCCTCACCGGGGCTCACGGCAGCCATCTCCGAGGCAGGGGACCCTACTTGAGCCCATTCGACTTGTGGGGACAGGGTGTTAGAGAACACAGAATCGCTCCGCGGAACAGGGACTCTCTCCTTTCCCAGTTCTTGTGACCACAAACAGCACTGAGTCCCCGACACTGTCAGTCTGGCTGGAGCGTCTCTCACGTGTGCTAATCTCTGTCTGAACAGGCTCAGGGCCTGGCAGGCGCTGGCTCCAGCTGGAATTCACTAGCTCTTCCGTTTTAAGGGTGATTACCTGCAGTCACCTTCTATTTGTGGCAAGTGATGCCAGTTTTCCATATTTGCTCGTAATATTAAGTTCCTCTCTTTCCAGAACATTAATTTCACATTAAAGATTTAGAGACGGTTTAAAGAAAACAACTACATAAATAATAGTTCAAGCAGTAGGACATAGAGCAAAAATTGTTGACAGTGTCATGTGAGGTTTGGGAGACCTTGAGCCAAGTCGGTCCTGCTTGCTCCACAGAGAATGAAGGGGCCCAGAGAGGGCGGTGACATGCCCGAGGTCACACAGCAAGCTGAAGATAGAGATGTGGTCCCAGGTCTCTGAGTGAAGTCCTGGAGCCTCTCATTCTGTGCCACTCGCTGGTGGCTGTTAAAGATCAGTCTCCTTGTTCCTTTGACTTGCAAGTCTGGCCTCACAGTAAACCCCAGAATGAGAATAGCTGACATCATCAATCAAGCACTTTATGCTCGCCTTATACTATCTGCTTTAGAGTCTTAGTTCGTTTATTTCTCAAAACAACCTTAGGTGGGGCCAAGGAGAACCATCATTCCTGAATTTCAGATGGGGCTCAGAGAGGTTAAGTAAATTGTACAAGGCCACACAGCAAGAAGGGGCAGAGCCAGGATCTGAACCTCTGTGGTCTGACCCCAAAATCTTAATTCCTCTCAGCATCTTGGGTTCATCTCTATCCTCCAAGGCATCAAAAGCCCCAGCTGAAAAGCATCCTGGGGCTGCAGCTTATAGAATCCAAGGCAGTGGGTTCTCCAACCTTCTAATATCATTAGAACACGAGACAATTCGTTAGCCATTGGCTTTTTTTCTTTCTGAAACTGTAAGCTTTCATTCCAGGCCACTCCCCAGAGCTGGACAGTAGGAGTGGCTATCTGACTGGCTTCTGTCGTTAGAATGACAGTTGGGCACTTGATAAATTTTTAAGCAGCAATGTCCTAGCTTGCTACCTCTGCAGAGAAGCTGCCTAGTTTGGAGCTGGGCATTAAGTGAGAAAATGGTCCTTGTGGGCGTGATGCGGAAGGGATTCTTTTGTGCAGTTCAGCCATCCCACTGTCCTCCTCCTCTGGGGTGGCCAGGGTGAGGTCTGGAACTGGCCTGTCTTGGGTAATGCTGACTCTGCCCCTTCCTAGCCGTGTGACCTCAGGCAAGTCGCCTAATCTTTCTGAGTCTGTTTGCTCATCTGAAAGGAAGACAACAAATGCCTATCTCAGTGGGCTGTTTGTTGTGAGGATTACATAAAATTGTGGGGGTGGAATGCCTGCCATACCTAGCAACCTGAGGCATCACTACCTGCTGGCTCTTCTCCTTGTCCTCACCTGTTCTCAGTCAGAAGACACCAGGCAGGGCGACCCGCTCAGTGCTGGGGGCCTTCTGAGAGGAGCAGCCCTTTTCCTCCTCCAAAGGCCTTGCCTGCTGGAAACCCATTACTCGTTCCTCTTCGTCCACATATCAAACAACCAATTAAAGTGGCCATGTCACCACAGACGTCACCCTGACATGATTTGCCCAGTGTCTCCACTGTCATCTCCACGACGGGCTGTGCAGCAGGGGCCTCTGCCTTATCTAGTTGATGAGTGTCTGGCCGGAAGGGGACAGGAGAAGAAAAGCTTCCTGTCTGCCTGGGTCCATGTCCCTGAAGGAAGCCAGCATCCTGGAGAGACAAGGACCAGTTTCTCAAACGTGGATTCTGGTTTACGTGTCAGCTGTCGACGCTCATCAGTCGTGGGTTTTGTGAAGATTTTTGGTCTGGAGCGTGTCTCCAGTCGGTCGGTGCCCAAGACTCGGTGAGGCTCATAGGGCAGCATTTGCCAACACCTCCACGAGTCCTGCCACATCCAGGAACCACGTGGACTGCTCTTCATTTAGCATTTTCAACCAATACGCCTTTTTTTAACTCCAAAATTTTAAAAAGAACCTTTTTTTGTCACTATCATGAACAAAAAGTCGTATACTTTGTCATAAACGAGACAATGCCAAAAATAAACATGATGGAAATGAAACTACAAATTCTAGCGAGATGCCCCTGGCCTGCAAAGGTGAGCCTGGGCTTGGTTTCTCTGATCAAAGGGAAAAGTAGCAAGTGCCACAAAGATGGCAGACAGCTGACAGCTGGGTGGCACTCTGCCTCAGTGTACCCACTGCCTCCCAGGATGCCTATGACAGAGGACCTCACTGGGGAAGCACTGGGAGTGTGGCTGAGTGGATGGACTCAACCACCTCATAGCTGGGCATCTGGGGTGAGTCACTGAACCTCCCCAAGCCTCAGTGTCCCGCCCTACATAATGGCGCTACCTACCTGCTTTACTGGGTGACCGCAGGGGAAGCTATGGAAAAGTGGGGGAGGCGGTTATTTTTAACTACCCCACCAAGTCTCTTGCCAGGAAGGAATCCCAGGAATGAAGCCTTCCCCTTCTGGAGGTGACTGGAACTAGAACCAGCTCCCAGCCACCCTCAGGCTCAGGGCAGGGGGCGAGGGCTGTGGAGCACCAGTTATCATCCCCGGGCTGCTTCAGAGGCTGCCTGCACAGACATACCCTTCTTGGTAACTGGTCCCCAAGAACAGCAAGAGAGCCAAAGAAAGGAGAAGGCCTCCTGGGCTAAGTCTGAGTCTAACACACAATCAACACTGGCAGCATCATTTACTAAGAACTGACTACATACCCGTCCTTCACCATCTCATCCACTGTGCACAAGCTTTTCAGTGGATACTATTATCCTAGGGAGATGAACTCACTTGTTCAAGGTGTTGGTGCAGCTGAGATTTAAACCCAGATCTGACTGCAAAGCCTCTCT